ACCCATGACCCTCTCGCCTGGCCATCCTGACCTCCAGCCCTCACCCATAGTACAGGTGCGCCTCACCCCACACCTGTAATGGTAACACGATTAGTAGACATCCACAAACCCATCTCAATAATAATAATCATACCTGCGCCGCAACACACACACATACACACACATACATACACACACACACGCACACACACACACACATACACACACACACACACACACACACACACACACACACACACACACACACACACACACACACACACACACACACACACACACTACAACATCAATACACTAACACAAATGTATACCTAACATCCCTGTATAGTACACAACCTCGGCACATTGATACAAATGTATGCATAGTCTAGATTAATACATTAATACAAATTTATACACCAAACTGTGCACGCTGAGCCAGGTGTGTGCAGCTGGCAGTCGATTCGCACCCAGATGCGTGATGCACACACCAGGTGTGTGCATCTGTGTGTGCCAACCTCGCTCCACGATCTCACATCTGGGTATGAATCGTTTCAAATTTCAGCTGTTAATAAACAGTCGTTAGGGGTCATTTTTTTATCATAACCTAAATGAGGGGCTAGGCCTACAGTAGGTGTTCATGGGAATGAAGTTCTTATTAAACCTTTGAAAAACTATTGGAGACTTTATGTAACCAGTATTGTAAATAAATTCAGAGCGCCGATGGAGGCAAGAACACAGATAAACAGGTTAGTGTGGCTCTTCTTCTCTCAGGGGTTGTGTGGGGCTCTCCCAGGGTTGTAAGGGGCTCCACTCCCAGGGTTGTAAGGGGCTCCACTCCCAGGGTTGTAAGGGGCTCCAATCCCAGGGTTGTAAGGGGCTCCACTCCCAGGGTTGTAAGGGGCTCCACTCCCAGGGTTGTAAGGGGCTCCACTCCCAGGGTTGTAAGGGGCTCCACTCCCAGGGTTGTAAGGGGCTCCACTCCCAGGGTTGTAAGGAGGTAGGACCGGAACACAACATGTGTGACTCCCCCACGCACCAGCCTTTCCCTTAAAAGCCCACCACCACCACCACCATCACCGTTACCATCAACGTCTGGCAGCCTGCCACTACCGTTACCACCAACGCCTGACACCCCACCACTGGCACTCGTTACCCAGCGCTAAAGCTCCAACGAAAATAAAAACGAGGAGGGAGGGGGAGGTAAAAGGGTAAACACAATCCAGGCACCTAGACACCAGCTCACCGGCGCGTCTCTCTCACCCAACGCCAGACAGAAGAGCAAGACTTCGGGGCCGAGTTCGTCGAGTCCAACGGGCGCCTCCTAGCGATGGATGCCCGAACTACACTGACGAGGTAAACATTGTTGCCAGAAATCCCGTTGTGCTTGTGTCCCGTTGCCTGCTACCTGTTCCAAAATACTCAAATGTACATGTACACACACACGCACATATGCAAGAAAAACCACAGTGAAAATTGAAAATTAGTTTAAAACACTTTGCGAGGCGGAAGTGCTTAAACGAATTTCCAATTTTCACGGTGCACCCTTTTTCCCTGCATGTAAAAGTCATGCGTTCTGTGATATCCTGCACAGGTATGTGTATGTATCCACAGCTAATATTGCTTTGCAGCATGAGGGGCGTGAAGAATGATACAGCCCCCTCTCCCGCCCCCACGCACACACACAAACGAACGCGCGTACACAAGAAAAACAAAGTCTTTAATGATGTCTTCCCGCTCGTCCTGACAACATTTGGTCTCGGCCATCAATCCGGACGCCAGAAAATTCGCCCGTTTGGATTCTATGGGAGGTTCTTTATAGCGTCTTCAACTGTCGCGCACGCGCGCGTGTGTGTGTGTGTGTGTGTGTGTGTGTGTGTGTGTGTGTGTGTGTGTGTGTGTGTGTGTGTGTGTGTGTGTGTATGTGTGTGTGTGTGTGTGTGTGTGTGTGTGTGTGTGTGTCTGGCGGATGAAGGGTGAGTATGTGTGTGTGTGTGGGGGGGGGGGTACGGGCTGCCATCCTCAACAAATCCTATATATCCGCCCAGCCAATCAAGGCGGCCCACCACAACGTCCACAATCCTGGTCCCGCCTCCAGGCTCTTATTGACGACCATATTGGACGACTGGCGATGACGTGGTGGATATAACGTGGCTGATGGCTGATGACGTGGCTGATGACGTGGCTGATGCCATGACTGATGTATGATAACGTGACTGAAGTATGGTTGCAAGGAACAAGCCTAGTTGGTCCTTAAAATCGTCCAAAAGATACGTTACTCATGACAGAAATATAAATGCTAGTGATTCAGTGAACATATAGAATATAGTGAAATACACTATATTCTATACTATGTTTGAAACGAATGCCAATGGAGTACCCGAAGGGCGAAACCCATCCGCGCATGCGCAGCTCGCATTCCTGTGTGAGGGAGGAAGTCTTTGAAATGAATAAACATTACTTTAACTGCCGGTATAAACATAGAAAATTACATTGTACGATTAAAAACAATATTAAACAATAAGGTTAAATAGAGAATCCGAGATCACATGACGTATGAACTAGACTAAGGGGGGGGGGGGAGATGATGAATAGAGGAGAGATGAACGACCATTGGCCGCTGTGTGCTGGGCTGGTCGAGGTGGTGGTGGTGGCCCCTCCTGAGTGGTGCTGGTAACTCACGCTGTCGAGGCTTCCGTTGTAGGTGAGGACCATGTCTACTCTGTAATCCTAAATACCTCTTCAATCGTTGTTGGTAGGTATATAAGTAGGTAGCTAGGATGTCAGGTGTGTCTGGTGTAGGTCGGCAGCCTGCATCTTGTGGCCACGTATGGCCACCTGATCAACTAGGCTTTGACTCGTACGTCAGGCTGCAAGCAGCCGCGTCCAACAGCCTGGTTGACCAGTCCAGCAACGAGGAGACCTGGTCGGCGACCGGGCCGCGGGGTCGCTAAGCTCCGAAATCACCTCAAGGTAACCTGGGCAACATTTATGATATCAGCACGCCTACGCCACACGCCCACGCCCACGTCACATCAATTGTCAACCACGACGATGTATAAGACATGGGCGTGGATCCCTAATGCCTCTGAGCTACGGTAGCAGTCAGGGAAAGTCGAAAATCCCAGCGGGGCAGCGGTTGGTCACTCGTCTCCCGCTCGTGCGGTCGGTGGTTCGAATCTCTAGTAACCCGGTGAATGAAATGGTATAAGTTATACACCCTAGGATTCCCGTGAACCCACAAAGTCTGGAGTCGTCGACTGAAGCGAGGAAGGAAGAGCCTCTAAGGAAGAGCTTAGCCTTAAGGAAGGAGAAGAACGGCTAAGAGAAGGGTGAGAGTCACACACACACACACACACACACACACACACACACACACACACACACACACACACACACACACACACACACACACACACACACACACACACTCAATGGACGCTTTCAGTACATTGATATTTTTTGTTTGTTTCCTGCCTGCCTCCTGTGATAGGTAAGCAGTGGGGAGGGACTCACCTTGAGGGAGGGCAGAGTGTGGGCATCAACACACATGCTAGCAGGAGGCGGAGCCGTGACCTCTGGGCACCATGACGTCACTCAGCTGACCTCACCTCTCCGCCCGACCCGGGCCTCACTGCCTGGAAAACAACACACACTTGTTAACACACCAATGGTACGGTACACGCGGGAATGGTTAACACTCCCGTGTCTGCTGAAGTACTGGTATGGGTTATCTTGAGGTTATCTTGAGGTTATCTTGAGATGATTTCGGGGCTTTTTAGTGTCCCCGCGGCCCGGTCCTCGACCAGGCCTCCACCCCCAGGAAGCAGCCCGTGACAGCTGACTAATACCCAGGTACCCATTTTACTGCTAGGTAACAGGGGCATAGGGTGAAAGAAACTCTGCCCATTGTTTCTCGCCGGCGCCTGGGATCGAACCCAGGACCACAGGATCACAAGTCCAGCGTGCTGTCCGCTCGGCCGACCGGCTCCTAGTACTGGGGAGTACACCAGTGGTACAGTACACGCGGGAATGGGGATAAGGGAAATAGGTTGAGGCCAGTAAGTGATGCTTGAATAATGTGGCTGAGAGTTATCAACTCATCCTCCACAAATGAGAGTACGAATAGCCACCATGGATAGAATGTACACACTATGGACTGCTGTACCCCAAGTCCACGTTCTGTACTAAAGATTAACGCTTCAGAGAGAGACTGTTAGATTTGCAGTAACATAAAGGGCAGATATGACGCTTCAGAGCTCATAAACTCTTTAATAAACTATGTAAACTAAGTCGCTATGATGAAGGAAAGATGGACAGGTATCGTAAACACTTGCTGAATCTTGAACCTAGTGAACAAGACACGGTAGACGCCAAACCAATGATGATAATTTTTAAGACACTGGGAGCCGGTCGGCCGAGCGGACAGCACGCTGGGCTTGTGATCCTGTGGTCCTGGGTTCGATCCCGGGCGCCGGCGAGAAACAATGGGCAGAGTTTCTTTCACCCTATGCCCCTGTTACCTAGCAGTAAAATAGGTACCTGGGTGTTAGTCAGCTGTCACGGGCTGCATCCTTGGGGGTGGAGGCCTGGTCGAGTACCGGGCCGCGGGGACACTAAAAAAAAAAAAAAAAGATATCATCTCAAGATAACCTCAAGATATCACACCGAACGATCGTGTTACTGGTAGTGAACATTTCCTTATAAATAGTTCGAGGAGTGAGGACTCGGAGCCGCGTTCATAGGCATGGTCTCAAGTGTTCAGCCTGGTGTCTGAATTGTGGATACGGTTCTTAAAAAGCTGTCAAGATAGTAAACATTTCAGTTATCTATCGGAGTTCTAAATATAGCTCCTTAAAGTTATCTCAAGACTTCACTAATTCCTTTGATACTTATCAACCTTGCCTTTGTATGCGTCAAATATTGGTGGTTTTAATGATTATTTTACATATGTCAAAAATTATTTTGCTTCCTTATAACCTGTATGACTTTCTGTTCCATTTACATTTCTTTAGTCTGGCATAAGGTTATCTTGAGGTTATCTTGAGATGATTTCGGGGCTTTTTAGTGTCCCCGCGGCCCGGTCCTCGACCAGGCCTCCACCCCCAGGAAGCAGCCCGTGACAGCTGACTAACACCCAGGTACCTATTTACTGCTAGGTAATAGAGTGAAAGAAACGCTGCCCATTGTTTCTCGCCGGCGCCCGGGATCGAACCCGGGACCACAGGATCACAAGTCCAGCGTGTTGTCCGCTCGGCTTACCGGCTCCTTAGCGCCTCACTTTCTGCTCTATTTCTGCAATACGTATCCTTGTATAAAGAGCAAATGATCTGGTTGAAGAGACAAGATGGCAGTCTCAGTGAAAACTACAAGAGGTGTGTCAAGCTCTTAACAAGAGATTTCAGAAGTATTTACAAAAAGAATCCTCCTGGAGACCAGAGATGAGAGATAAGAGGCTAGAAGTAACACTGAACGTCATAGTAGCCACTGTGGAGGGGGTTAAGAAACGCTTAGAGAAATTCGATGCACCTTGAAAACATTAGAAAGTTGCTTGGAAACCAGAACCACGGCTCTTTCAAGACAATACAGTCTTTTGTTAGTCCAAACCACACACTAGAAGGTGAAGGGACGACGACGTTTCGGTCCGTCCTGGATCATTCTCAAGTCATTCTCAAATCACACAATCGACTTGAGAATGGTCCAGGACGGACCGAAACGTCGTCGTCCCTTCACCTTCTAGTGTGTGGTCTGGTCAACATACTTTAGCCACGTTATTGTGACTCATCGCCTGCATTTGTTAGTCCAATATTTGAATATGCAGCACCGGAATCCACACCTTATGAAGTTTAAAACCAAAATAAAAAAAGTACAAAGGTTTGTAACAAGATTGGTGCAAGAGCTAAGAGGGCTCAGCTATGAGTATAGGTTAAAGTAATTAGACAACACATCCCTTGAGGATAGCAGAAACAGGGAGGGGGGGGGGACATGATTGCAACATACAACATACCGAGGGGAATTGACAAGGTGAACAGGAAGAGCCTCTTTAAAGTGAAAAAATGTATAACAAGAGGACATAAGTGAAAGCTGGAAACGCAAACGAGTCAAAGAAATGTTAAAAAGTACTTGTACCAGTACACGTGCTCAACAAGTGGAGCGCACAAACAATAGTAGCGGAAGCCACCTCCATCCACAACTGTAAGGCCAGATTCGACAGAATTTAAGCGTTAGAATAATTCCATTACAAGGCAAAAGGCACAACAAAAGCAACAGGCGAGGCAGGAAGAGATACACCTCACTGCCCCGTACCACTGATAGGCTACGATAGTGGTAGGTCGTGTGTAGTCACCACTGATAGGCTACGATACTGGTAGGTCGTGTGTAGTCACCACTGATAGGCTACGATAGTGGTAGGTCGTGTGTAGTCACCACTGATAGGCTACGATAGTGGTAGGTCGTGTGTAGTCACCACTGATAGGCTACGATAGTGGTAGGTCGTGTGTAGTCACCACTGATAGGCTACGATAGTGGTAGGTCGTGTGTAGTCACCACTGATAGGCTACGATAGTGGTAGGTCGTGTGTAGTCACCACTGATAGGCTACGATAGTGGTAGGTCGTGTGTAGTCACCACTGATAGGCTACGATAGTGGTAGGTCGTGTGTAGTCACCACTGATAGGCTACGATAGTGGTAGGTCGTGTGTAGTCACCACTGATAGTCACCTACACAGAAAAACATACAAGTAAATATACAAACACACACACATGTACGCAGGCGTGCGCACGTACATACTTTATAACCTCTCTATTGAAGCGCACATATTAAAACAACTTTGATCAATATATCTGATTACCGTAACACCGCTCATTCACACACGTCACCCAATCTGCCACTTGGTAAAGCAAATCTAAATTACCCAACCCAAAGCAACAGACCTAACCAACCAAGACCGATGCACAGAAAACACGGTGCTTAAATTGCAACTAACACGTCGCAATTTAAACGGATTAGTCGATTCCTGAAGAGAGAGATAGAGAGAGAGAGAGGGGGGGGGAGGATGGTATGGGTCAAGGAGACCAATACAAACCACGTCAGAAGGTAGACACAAACGGCTCAGCCAAGCACAATAACAATTTATACGCGAGGCCAATTGAAGAGTCAAGAAGGTATGTTAAGCCCCCAAAATACGAGCACAGGAATAAAGCTCACCACGTACACACTTGGCAAATAGAGCTTTCACGAAGGTTGAGCTTCCAGGACAAAGACAAGGCACCAACTGGGCGGCCGGAGGGTTCATGTCTGGTGTAAACAATATCTGCCCACCATAAACACCCCCACGGAAACACGCCGCCCTAAACCACTCTAAAAATACATAAAAGTAGGGAAAGACATTCTATATATCACCTGTGTGTGTGGGGGGGGAGAGAGAGAGAGAGAGAGAGAGAGAGAGAGAGAGAGAGAGAGAGAGAGAGAGAGAGAGAGCGCGAACGAACGAACGAACGAAGTAGATAAGGAATGAGGCGTTCTCTTTTATTATTCTCGTGTGCTTTGTCTCCTTCCATATTGTTAAGACCCCGACATGTTGTCAGTGAACCTTTGGCCCAGCCTCACACACCATCCTATAAGGAACACATAAGTGACAAGTACAAATCAGTGAATACACACAAACTCATCACCAAAACTCAAACATCCACACGGGATAAACAGAGCATAGCACCCCATAAGAGAGTGGTGGGAGGAGAGGATGGGTGCCACTTACCGTGGGTAGGGCGTGCAGTGCCACCAGGTCAGCGGGATCCTGCAAGAGAGAGAATAAATATTAGTGCCACGCTACATGGCTCCCCTAGCTACAGGGTAAACTCCTGGCACCCCGGTACACCAAGGTAATATTAGTGCCACGCAACACGGCTCCCCTAGCTACAGGGTAAATTCCTGGCACCCCCAGTACACCAAGGTAATATTAGTGCCACGCAACACGGCTCCCCTAGCTACAGGGTAAACTCCTGGCACCCCCAGTACACCAAGGTAATATTAGTGCCACGCTACATGGCTCCCCTAGCTACAGGGTAAACTCCTGGCACCCCGGTACACCAAGGTAATATTAGTGCCACGCAACACGGCTCCCCTAGCTACAGGGTAAACTCCTGGCACCCCGGTACACCAAGGTAATATTAGTGCCACGCAACACGGCTCCCCTAGCTACAGGGTAAACTCCTGGCACCCCCAGTACACCAAGGTAATATTAGTGCCACGCAACACGGCACCCCTAGCTACAGGGTAAACTCCTGGCACCCCGGTACACCAAGGTAATATTAGTGCCACGCAACACGGCTCCCCTAGCTACAGGGTAAACTCCTGGCACCCCGGTACACCAAGGTAATATTAGTGCCACGCAACATGGCTCCCCTAGCTACAGGGTATACTCCTGGCACCCCGGTACACCAAGGTAATATTAGTGCCACGCAACACGGCTCCCCTAGCTACAGGGTAAACTCCTGGCACCCCGGTACACCAAGGTAATATTAGTGCCACGCAATATGGCTCCCCTAGCTACAGGGTAAACTCCTGGCACCCCCAGTAAGGTCACAGTAGTTGTGAATAAAGTCAAACTAAGTAAACTAAACGTTCTCCTTTACATGTAAACCAAGGAATAATAAGATAATCGAGGCAGCCGACACCTACATAATACCGGAAATAAGAGCATGAACTCTCATATTACATAACCTAAAAACAAGGGGATATAAATACTGATAAATTAGAGAAAACATTACTAAAATAACATCAATTGAAAGTCATCAGTTTTATAATAGTTTCCCCGTCTCATTTCCGACTGTATTAAACAGTGGTTGGGCATCCCGTTTTCTTACCTGATCGTTGTGTGTCTTACGGTATCAACCAATCCGTTAAAAAGACGACGTTTAATCAGATTTAATGTACTATAATATTGACGTTTTCTATGCATCGGCTTTGATAGGTTAGGTTAGGTTATTTGTACCTGGATAGTTGGACGGTAATGGGCGGTTGAGGATGCTGGACTGGATTGTACCTGGATGGGGTTCTGGGAGTTGTCCTACTGCCCCAACCCCGGTGCGGGGCCAGGCTTGACTTGTGAGAGCTTGGTCCAACAGACTGTTGCTTTGAGCAGCCCGCAGGCTCGCCTATCCACCACAATCCAGCAGATCCGATACTTCCTACGAGAGTTTGTCTGTGTGAAGATGACCACGATCTGGCGCTCCCACACTTGTTATTCTCGACTACCATCATTCTACTTATAAAACCTATTAGTTACATTCCATAACCTAATCACTCTACACCTCAACAACCTGATCAATCCACCACCATAGGCCTATAACCCCAACTATCCAATTCCACACCTATACAACCAGGGTTATCCACTTTCACAGTCCAGCTACAAACCTTTACATACAATCTTGACTATCAACTTGGTCACCTCCACAACCCCAGTTATCTACAACCTCAGCTATCAACCCCATCTTCCCAAACACCATCTACACTCCACAATATAAACCATTTACTTCAATTATTCTGCTTTTCTTCGACAATTCTTTTCCCTGCTGACGATTTCGAGAAGTTTTTCTACTTGCTGAGAGTGATCTGTGGCCAAGTGTCACACTTCCCTAGCCATCTCTCTAGACGTCGGCCTCGCTATACACAGGCAGGCAGGCAGGCAGGCAGGCAGGCAGGCGGGCAGGCAGGCAGGCCGGCAGGCAGGCAGGCAGGCAGGCAGGCCGGCAGGCAGGCAGGCAGGCAGGCAGGCAGGCAGGCAGGCAGGCCGGCAGGCAGGCCGGCAGGCCGGCAGGCAGGCAGGGAGGCAGGCAGGCAGGCAGGGAGGCAGGCAGGCAGGCAGGCAGGCAGGCAGGCAGGCCGGCAGGCAGGCAGGCAGGCCGGCAGGCAGGCCGGCAGGCAGGCAGGCAGGCCGGCAGGCAGGCAGGCAGGCCGCTCACTACCGTTAATATATCAATAGGGAAGTGTAATTTTAAACACATCTTCCCTGCCCTCTCGCATTGCGGTAGACGACCCAATTTGCAGCCACTAAAAATGGAGCAAAGGTTTCACGTCACTGAAAATGGGTATCCCATTTCCAGTGAACCTCCCCCCACCCCCACACTACAGCTGCCAAGTTATATTTAATAGTTAAAAAAAAGATACAATAGATTAATGGGAGGAGGATGTGGGTTTTGGGCAGGAGGAGGAGGAGGAGGAGAGGGGTGCCATACCTCATAATATATGTCAGAGTGGCGGCAATCAATGTGGCGGGAGCCAAAGATTTTTCTCGTAAGAGCCAGAGAGGTGTGTGGCCAGCCCTCCTCCGGGTGTATAAGATCATTCCCGGCCCTACCTTGTGGTACGGCGCTCCTCTCTCTTGGGGCAAGTGCCACTAACAGGCCATCCGACCCTTACTCACGCTCTCTCTAACACACACACACACACACACACACACACACACACACACACACACACACACACACACACACACACACACACACGAGGGCTTAACATGACTATGGTGTAATGTTCTTGAATAATTAAAGTAACACTGGAGGGTCTCGGGTCCCTGTGGTACGCTGGAGGGCCTTGAGACCCAAGGCCACGCTGGAGGGCCTTGAGACCCAAGGCCACGCTGGAGGGCCTTGAGACCCAAGGCCACGCTGGAGGGCCTTGAGACCCAAGGCCACGCTGGAGGGCCTTGAGACGATGAAACAGTCTAAGTGATCACTACCAGGAGTCCTTCACTGATCTCCATCGGCAAGTCCTCAAGATACATAAAACTTGAAGCAATAACTTTCTTAATCTAAGTTCTGCTATCTCAAATTGCACTTTCGCTCTCAAAATTGACATTATAATGACTTTAGACTAAGACCCGCGTCCTTACATTCCACGTTGGAGTTCAAAAACTAATTATAACTGAAACCTTTAAGTTTTACACGAAAAAAAAAAACTCACAAACTTCTCCTAACTCCGACGCACTCGGAAGAGCTGTGAATATTTCTGACAACCTCGCCTGATTTTTGATTTACACTTCGTACGATTTTGTTGTGGCCATCCTTTAGAGCACTCGAAGTTACTGTTGCTTAACCCTGAGTGCAAGAACAGCTGGATGGGTTCACACCAGGAAGGGATGTGGCGTGGATAGATTATGGAGATGAGGGACGGGTGTGTGTGGAGAGGATGGGTGTAGACCTAGCCACACCTCACAGTGGTGTAGGGGGGTGACCTCCACACCTCACAGTGGTGTAGGGGTGACTTCCACACCTCACAGTGGTGTAGGGGGTGACCTCCACACCTCAGTGGTGTAGGGGGTGACCTCCACACCTCATAGTGGTGTAGGGGGTGACCTCCACACCTCACAGTGGTGTAGGGGGTGACCTCCACACCTCATAGTGGTGTAGGGGGTGACCTCCACACCTCACAGTGGTGTAGGGGGTGACCTCCACACCTCACAGTGGTGTAGGGGGTGACCTCCACACCTCACAGTGGTGTAGGGGGTGACCTCCACACCTCATAGTGGTGTAGGGGGTGACCTCCACACCTCACAGTGGTGTAGGGGGGTGACCTCCACACCTCACAGTGGTGTAGGGGGTGACCTCCACACCTCACAGTGGTGTAGGGGGTGACCTCCACACCTCATAGTGGTGTAGGGGGTGACCTCCACACCTCACAGTGGTGTAGGGGGTGACCTCCACACCTCATAGTGGTGTAGGGGGGTGACCTCCACACCTCACAGTGGTGTAGGGGGTGACCTCCACACCTCACAGTGGTGTAGGGGGTGACCTCCACACCTCATAGTGGTGTAGGGGGGTGACCTCCACACCTCACAGTGGTGTAGGGGGTGACCTCCACACCTCACAGTGGTGTAGGGGGGTGACCTCCACACCTCACAGTGGTGTAGGGGTGACCTCCACACCTCACAGTGGTGTAGGGGGTGACCTCCACACCTCACAGTGGTGTAGGGGGTGACCTCCACACCTCACAGTGGTGTAGGGGGGTGACCTCCACACCTCACAGTGGTGTAGGGGGTGACCTCCACACCTCACAGTGGTGTAGGGGGTGACCTCCACACCTCACAGTGGTGTAGGGGTGACCTCCACACCTCACAGTGGTGTAGGGGTGACCTCCACACCTCACAGTGGTGTAGGGGGTGACCTCCACACCTCACAGTGGTGTAGGGGTGACTTCCACACCTCACAGTGGTGTAGGGGGTGACCTCCACACCTCACAGTGGTGTAGGGGGTGACCTCCACACCTCACAGTGGTGTAGGGGGTGACCTCCACACTAGACACACCACCAACTCCAAGCTGACGGGTCGTCTTCCTCACAATTTCACTTAAAAATTGAGTTTTCTTCCAGGTCGGCGAGCAGCAGGAGGAGAGAGTTGGATGATAGTAGAGAAAGGGAGTGGGTAACAATAGACGGCGGGTAGGTGGATGATGTAAGGAGAGAAAAGGCCCCCCCACACTGCCCCACAGCATGGAAAGACCTCCCCACACTGCCCCACAGCATGGAAAGACCTCCCCACACTGCCCCACAGCATGGAAAGACCTCCCCACACTGCCCCACAGCATGGGAAGACCTCCCCACACTGCCCCACAGCATGGAAAGACCTCCCTACACTGCCCCACAGCATGGGAAGACCTCCCCACACTGCCCCACAGCATGGAAAGACCTCCCCACACTGCCCCACAGCATGGGAAGACCTCCCCATACTGCCCCACAGCATGGAAAGACCTCCCCACACTGCCCCACAGCATGGGAAGACCTCCCCACACTGCCCCACAGC